AGAAGAGAGGACGGCGGTAATGGCTGAGAATCTACGCCGCAGTGATATCAGTTGGGCATCATCGAAGTGCGCTGTCACCTGGTTGAAGTTAGTTTTCCAGAACTAAAATATCCTCCCACTACTGCCGTATCAAGCAGTGCCCATCTTTGCTATGCTTTGTGCAGTGTGTGCAGCAGGCCTGCACACACCGCAAATATTGTAGTTATTGTGTTTGGCTGTGGCTCAGTATGCGGCCTGTCAACATGCACGGGTAAACAATTTGAAGCTGAAAAATGCTTATTTCTCGTTGGCTTAGCAAAGCGAAAGAAACGAGAGATATACGCGCTGACTGGGTATGAGGGCTTTGGTTGCTACGAAGAAGTGTGTCCGCATAGATTTGCAGTTGATTGTCTTTTCTTCTTGCGAAATGTGCAGATACCCGATCCCGCCCATCCACATTAATATATTATGCTTACACACGATGACAGGACAGAGAAAGTGTTTTTACTCCGAGTTTCACGCACTAAGCGATCATCAGAAAACTCGGAGTAAAAACACTTTCTCTGTCCTCTCATCGTGTGAGCCAGCTCTGCCTCTCGGTATTGAGCACTCTCTTGGACAGCCTGGAACATCTCTGTTTTATATTCGACTTACCACACCCACACCCACACACACCAACACTGTACTACATGACTCTTACGTTGGCAAGTTGGTTGAGGTGCCGACCAAATTCCATTAAAGCGACAAGTAGTTGTAGCAAAACCAATCAACCTGAATCCGTTGCTACAAGTGTAGTTTCTAATTGTTCCAAAGTTGTTATCTCCTGGAGAAACTGAACCATTTGTTGGATGAGTCAAAAGTGAGCAAGAGACTCCTGAAAGGGAATGAAAGACATTACACAAAAAACAGTGATTGAGGGTTAAAGTACAGTTATCGAAAGAAGTTGTTTAATGATTGGATAGTAGATGGAACGTTTTCCTCCGATCTCAATGCCTGTTCTGCACATGCCGAATGATACAGACTCACACTGCTATCTAGTGTTCACAAAGTTTGTGTCTCCGTGGAAACAGATTTGGGCTGTAAATTACATCCCTGAGGATGTTTTAAACTCGAGACCGCTATATAAGTGGTGTTCTTTAGACACGATTTTCCCAAGCCTAATCAAGCTCAAATGGTGAAGGTTGAATGTTACGAATGATGCTTATGCATCAGAAAGTTGAACTCAGACAGCGAACTTATTTAATTGGGGATAGAATGGGACAAAAATGGTAGGAGTTATGACTAACAGCCCACCAACATAACCAGATCATAATTATGCAGGCAGCGAGTGTGACAAAATGGCACAAAACTGACACATTCAAATACCTGACACCTAGCTCCGATATTTCTCCCAGGTGCAAACCAATAGCCTTCCTTATCGGAGGACTCAGGTTAGGAAAGGTCCAAGAGGGGAATGAATGCAAAACGAAGAAAGCACAAGCTATGTCCCATGGCAACAAAGAATGCCGAAATTTAATGAATGATGACGAAACTTGCACGACTATTGGGACATACCGGTCTCACTATAACTCTTTGTTGCCGTGGGACTTAGCTTGTGCTCTTCTTTGTTGTGCTTTCCTTCCCCCTATCAGACCTTTCCTAACCTGAGCCATCCATGTTGGAAGGTTATTGGTTGGCGCCTCGGAGAAGTGTGGCAATAATAGCAACAGCTGGGTGTGAGGTCATTGAAAGCCTCAGCACTCTTTGTCAGTTTTGTGTCATTTTTGTCACAATCGCTGACTGTATTATGGTTACGTTGGCAGACAGTCAGACTTAACTCAGACAATTTTCATTCTTCTTTATTTATGCATCAATTAGAAGGGGATGCTTTATTGAAAATTTTGAAATCTTGACAAGCTGAAGGTTACATGAAGTTCGTTCCAGCTTACATTAGTGAGTTGGTCAAGTAGCACGTCCAGTTGACGAAAAAAGGAAAAAAGAGCAAGTGTTGTGACGTTCAAATCTTCTTGTTATTTATGCTGAAAAAGCCACAATACTACTACTTCGCAGACCGACATATTATTCACAAACTCTTGCTCTATCTCTCTCGCTCTCGCTCTCTCCCTTTGATCTCTTTCTCTCTGTTTCTCTCTCCCTCTCCCCCTCTCCCTCCCTCTGTCTCTGCCTTCCCCTCTTTCTCCCTCCCTCCCTCCTTCCTTCTGTCTGTCTGCCTGCCTGTCTGTCTGTATGTCTGTCCGTCCGTCTGTCTGTCTGTCTGTCTGTCTGTCTGTCTGTCTGTCTGTCTGTCTGTCTGTCTATCTGTCTGTCTGTCTGTCTGTCTGTCTGTCTGTCTGTCTGTCTGTCTGTCTGTCTGTCTGTCTGTCTGTCTGTCTGTCTGTCTGTCTGCCTGCCTGTCTGCTTGCCTGTCTGTCTGTCTGTCTGTCTGTCTGTCTGTCTGTCTGTCTGTCTGTCTTTCTGTCTGTCTCTTTCTCTCCCTCCCTCTTTCTCCCCCTCTCCCTCTCTCTCTCTATATCTCTCTCTCTATCTCTCTCTCTCTCTCTCTCTCTCTCTCTCTCTCTCTCTCTCTCTCTCTCTCTCTCTCTCTCTCTCTCTCTCTCTCTCTCTCTCTCTCTCTCTCTCTCTCTCTCTCTCTCTCTCTCTCTCTCTCTCTCTCTCTCTCTCTCTCTCTCTCTCTCTCTCTCTCTCTCTCTCTCTCTCTCTCTCTCTCTCTCTCTCTCTCTCTCTCTTCTCTCTGTCTCGCCCTGTCTCTGTCTCTCTCTCTCTCTGCCTCTCTCTGTGTCTCTGTCTCTCTCTCTGTCTCTCTCTATATCTCAATCTCTCTCTATCTCTCTGTCTCTCTCTATCTCTCTCTTTCTATCTCTCTCTCTCTCTCTCTCCCTCTGTGTGTGTCTCTCTCTCTCTCGGAAGAAGCTGTTAGGTTCCTCAGACAAGAGACAAGTAGTTTATTGGTTAGAATATACGAAGTAGAAAAACTGACAAGATTCAATCTGTAAACGACAGAGAAAACCTTCAAAGATATGCGTGCGTGCATACACAGTAGAGCTAAAGTTGTATGGCATTACGTCATAACATAACACGCCCCTTCGAAGATAAAATTCCATGGGTGTCAACCGGACACAAAATAACGAACACAGTAACATAATAATAATTATACTCTCACGCCCCTTCGGAGATAAAACCCGGTTTTGTCTCAACAAAAATAAATAAATAAATAAATAAAGTCATAACAGACGAGATGAAATGACATAGGCATGATGTCAAGATGAGACGAAATGCTACAGAGAAACATTTTCACACATATGACTGTCCAGACGTAGATGTAATGGTGAGACGGTCAGGCGTCTTGCGAATACGAGTGCTACGACGAACAGGCTGGGTAGCGGCGTCAGTAGGTACACATACTGATGAAGTTGGGGAAGGGGTATGACTAGCGGTGTCAACACATGGGAGAACGAACGGACGAAGAAAGCGGCGATTACGCCAGAGGACACGGCCACTAGGCATCTTGACGAAGTAGTCGCGCCGACTGCCAATTGCTACAATGACGTCACACATCGACCACAGCTTGGTCTGGTGGTGCTGAACATCAACATGGGTGTCAATCCGTAGAGAATGGAGAGAGCGTGCCGATTTGTCATAATGTGTTTTCGGATCTACAGAGTCCACAGCTTCAGCAGACGCAATCCAGTGGAGGGACTGACCGAACAACACTTGGGCGGGGCTGCTGCCATTAGGGCGGGGAGTATTGCGCCACTACAACAGGCCGCGTTGGAAGGAGTCTACATCCAGATCTCCATTCCGAGTCGTCTTCTCAATGAGCAGTTTCACTGCTTTCACTGCTGATTCCGCGTGGCCATTGGATTGAGGGTAGTGTGGGGTGGAAAAGCACTGTTCTACACCCCAACGCTCACAGAACTCACGTACATGGGAAGCGGCAAACTGCGGGCCTCCATCAGTGAATATCTTGTGCGGTATGCCAACATCTGCGAACCAACGGCGGAAGTGACAAATGATGTCATGGGAGGTAGCGGTACGGCCAATTCGAGCTACACACGGCCGGACAGACGGTCGGAATATACCAGGAACTGCCAGCCTTAACAGGAGAAGAGATCTGCGCTGGCATACTCGAATGGAAATGTCGGCTGTGGCTCGCGCATCAATGGCTCCTTCTGCTGCGAACGTTGGAGCTCACGACAGACAGGGCAGGCACGGATTAGGGCTGTGATGTCATCAATCATCCTCGGCCAGTAAACCACTTGACGCGCACGACGCTTGGTACGTTCCAGGCCCTGATGAGACGAATGCAGGTCAGTCAGTACACGGCGTTGTAGAGACTTGGGCACAACAAGACGAGAGCCACGGAGGACGATGCCGTTATCCAGGGTGAGGTGCTCACGGCCATTCCAATACGGAGCGAGAGCAGGTGGCACGTGACGTCTGGCAGAAGGGAAGCCGTCACAAATATAGGAGACTAACTGCACGTAATCAACGTCAGACCGAGCGGCATCGCGGAGCTCGAGGAACGGAAGACCAAATAGCGCTGATCCGGAGTCATCCTGCTGAAGGCATGCACGGATGGCTTGTCCATATAGCGAGTCGGCTTCTCCCAGGAGATCATCGGCAACCGGGTTCTGCACTGGAGCACGCAACAATGCGTCAGCAAAGGCATGCTCAGAGCCCTTGCGCCACGAAACGTCGAATTGATAGAGTTGTACCTTGGTCGTCAAATGTTGGAGCCGAGGATTCTCAACCTGGTCCAGTGTGTAGGTGTTCAATATTGGAACAAGGGGCTGATGGTCAACAACTACATGAAACGACGTGCCAGCAAGATAGGTGTGGCATTTTCGGATGGCCCAGGCGACACCCAACATCTCCAGTTCGATCATTGCGTACCGGAATTCGGTGTCGGTGATGAATCTGCTGCCGCACTGAATGAGGCGCCACGAATTATTCTGGTACTGCCAGAGGCTAAATCCGAGACCCTTGGTCCTAGGGGCGTCACACTCGAGACGTGTCTGTGCTTACGGGTCGAAGAAGGCCAATAATGGTGGGTCAACAAGTGCTTGCTTCGCAGCAACCATAGCGACTGTGTGCTCGGGTAGCCAGAGAAACTCATTCTTGGCTTTCAGCAGACCGCGGTGAGGCGTTGAGCTGAAATCACTGCACTGGTTGACGAGACCCGTGAATGATCGCACGTCAGTGCGATTGGCAGGGATCTCGAAGTCGGTGATAGCGCGGGTCTTTTCCTGGTCTGTCTTCCAGCCGGACTTGTTTATCACGTAGCCGCAGAAATTGATCTCGGTCTCGGCGAAAGCAAACTTCTTGCCTGACAGGGTGATACCATACTGACGAGCGCGTTGAAGAACTTCACGAGTTCGTTCCAGGTGCTGCTCAAAGGAATCAGTGAAGACCAGGCAGTCATCCACGGCCTTGGAGAATTGCTCTATACCAGCGAATGCTGCATCGGTCCGCTGGTTGAATTCGTCGCCAGCAGAAATCAGACCTTGTGGGTTCCGCAGGTACTGATATCTGCCCCACTGTGTGATGAATGTGGTCAAGCTTCTGGACTCCTCGTCCAAGGGGACCTGCCAGTAGCCGTGGCGAGCATCCAGCTTGGTAAAATACTTGGCGTTACCAAGGTTAGAAACGACATCGCGAGGTGCGCGCATGGGATGCGCGGGCGGGGCGACTTGCTTGTTAAGCGTAGTGAAATCCACCGTGATCCAGATTTCTGCAGTGCCTTTCTTTTCGGCTATGACGATGGGGTGATACCACTCCGTTTGCTCTGAGACTGGTGAGATGATGCCATCTGCGACCATCTTGTCCAGCTGGAGTTTCACCTGGTCACGATAGGCGTAAGGTAGCCAACGGGCATTGTTCAACTTGAATGGCTGGGCGTCAGGCGCTAGTTGGATGTGCATCGGCTGACCGTCCATGGGTCGGAGCGTGTCCTCTGCAAATACGTCAGCGAACTCGTCGAGGAGGTCCTGGCGGATACGTACACGCTGGTCTGGTGTAGGTTTGCTGTGCTCTGCAGAACGGGATGTCCCTTGTGTCACTGAAACGATCTGTGGCCAGTTAGGCGGCAAGAAACCTAACGCCTTGAGCGATGAGCGCGACAGCAATGCGCTACTGAGTTCGTCATACACATGTAGACGAGTGGTGTGCGTGACATCACGAGGGACAACCCTGGCGGGAACAGTTCCGAAGCTGGTCAATGGCTGACCGTTCACGGCGACAACATGGTCGGGGTCAGGTTCCAGATCAGCTACACTGCCACCAAGTCTGCGGAGATGACTAGCACCAATAGCATCAACATCCGAGCCAGTATCTGGCAACCACTCTAACATGCACGACCGGTCGTTGTCGTAAAGACGTGTTGACAGCATCACTTTGTCACCAGCCTGCACTGCGTGAACGGTGAGGCATGCGATGGTCTTGCGGCACATTGCCGCGAAGTGGTCCCTGCCCTTGCACTTACGGCACTCTTTGCCCTTGGCAGGACACATTGACTTTGTGTGCTGGGATCGTCCGCACTGCGAGCACTCTGCCGGTTTGTCAGCTGCAGCAGATTTCGGCTTACTAACCAAAACGGATTTGCTGCGTTGATACGATGACCTTGTTGCGGCATTCACGGATGCCGGTACCATGCCGTCACCGGTCTGCTGTGCGGCTTCTTCCGCCCTGCAGATCTTGGCCGCGGTTTCCAGGGTGAGGGACGGAGCTGCCAGGAGCTTATGGCGCGTGTCGTCGTTGGCTATGCCAACGACGATGCGGTCTCGCGTCATGTCGTCCCTGACCTTGCGGAGGCTCTGGGGCCTAGTACTGCATAGCTGATGTGTACATGTGCTGCACAGCTCCATATCAGGGAAATCGCACTGTGCAAACAGCTCCCTCATGGCAGTAAAGAAGGAGTCAAATGACTCATTGCGTTGTTGCTTTCTATTGTAAAACGCAATTCGATCTAGGAGGGGGTTCCGTTGGCGTCGGATGTACGCTTTTACTGCTATGATGATCTCCGGAGCATCGGCATTGTGGGAGATGACAATCACATCTTCGCGCATGAAACGACAAATGTCGGCATCGAACGCCTGGCGAAGAGCGGACACCCGAGTCTCACGACTTTGGCTGGCGAGGTGCTGGCACGCAGCATAATCTCTCCAAGCCTCCTCCCATGCCGTGAAATCGGCCATGGTTGCAATGCTGAGCAACACCGGTCGCTCGACAGAAATCGGCTTCTGACTGTAGGATGTCGAAGTGCTGGGTGGTGCCTGGTTGTCGCGCGTTGTGTTTTCGACCAGTGTGGTGAGGCGAGTCTCGCGTGCCTCAGCCGCTTTCATCTGCTGCTGCATCAAGGCGAGCAGGGATACAATTTCAGAACTGATTGGGGAAATTCCAGGTTCCGCCAGCACGACAATTCTACAACTGCAAGACACTTATGCTACACGATCGATCGTTTGAAAATAAAAGGCTACAGAAATCACGGACAACTACAGGCTGTCAAATATTCCGTACTCAGGTTACTAGTAGTTCACTGCGCCATGTTAGGTTCGGTAGACAACAGACAAGTAGTTTATTGGTTAGAATATACGAAGTAGAAAAACTGACAAGATTCAACCTGTAAACGACAGAGAAAACCTTCAAAGATATGCGTGCGTGCATACACAGTAGAGCTAAAGTTGTACGGCATTACGTCATAACAGAACAGAAGCCTTACTTGAACACGTCGGTGCTGGATCTGATAAATTTCCATTCGACAAACATAAAGTGACACTGCTGCCCTTCAGTTCATAACCTTTGTTGCATGCAAAGATGGTCAGGCCAGCAGGAGAAGTCGAGCTGCTAACAATTGAACCATTGGAAGGTGGGCTGGGTAAAGTGCACGATATCACTGAATGAAACACAAAACAACGAGACAAGACAAATTTCATCAGCTGGATGACTGGCAATTAACTGAGAATTGTACATCTAAAATATCTCGGAAATACAAAATTGCTACAAGTAGGTATGTCACACGAATAGATATACATTCACGTTCCCTCACAGTGCCTCTGTGTGGTATGATATGGTAGGTCATTACTCACAGCCAGACCATACACACACACACACACACACACACACACACACACACACACATACACACATACACACACACACACACACACACACACACACACACACACACACACACACACACACACACACACACACACACACACATACACACACACACACACGCACACATGCACACACATACACACTTGCTCTCTCCATCTCTCTCTCTCTCTCTCTCTCTCTCTCTCTCTCTCACACACACACACATGTATGCACACACCCACACGTACACACACACACGCAAGCAAGCATGCACGCACATGCAGACAAACACCCATATACATACACACACGCACACAAAAAAATACATCTATACACATGAGCTCACACAAAATCCTGAAACATTGAATCACATATACTGGGATACGCTTGGTTTACCATTCCATACATTATCATTATGTATTCAACACAAATTTCCACATGTTTGCAGAGTAAGTCTTTCAAAATAAACATTTTGGAATATGATACATAATCCAAGAATGGTGGACAACACATTTCGGCCTTGAACAGATAACTTGTATCATCAACCACCACAGCAGAAATGTACTCTAGTGTCACAATTTGCTGACGGTGTGCTGTGGCAATGTTTGAAGGTCAGACGGAGGTGTCGTTGTTCAGAACAGTAAATTGTAACATGACCGAACAAATTTTGATTCTTACATTTGCATGATGGAAGAGAAACTCCTGTAGGCCATTGTCCGCTCTTGTCACAGGTGATTGCCGCTGCTCCTGTTCGCTGATATCCTGGAAGGCATGATATCTTCGCTGTACCTCCGGGAAAAAAACTAGAAAACACTGCACTGATGTAACCATTAGCAATCGACGGTGGATCAGCTGGACACATGATGCCTGTAAGAAGTTATGCAGAAACCAACAACACACACAACTCGGATTGATATTATATACATGCATTTTATTCCCGTAGCTATGCAGAAGACGTTACTTCAGGGTCCACACAGCTTTAATTTGGTATTTGTTTGTTTGTTTGTGTGTTTGTGTCACGCCTGGAGCTATCCTGTATCTGTCCCAAATCTGTGACTACAAAGGCTCTACAGGATTTTACATAACAGCTGGCCACAATATTTGCTGGCTCTATTTGCTGGCTCTCGTACCTGTCCCGTACCGCACCATCAAACACAGCTAGCTGGCCACAAACAGCTGGCCACTATATTTGTCGTATTATGTATACGATTCCCTGATGTAGAGAGAGATTTGGAAAGAAATAGGGAGATGAGGAGGAAATTAAATTAAAATGGATGTTAGTTGCCGAATAGGTGATAGGATGTGTAAGCAAAAATATACTTTGGAAGAGAGATCCCGTCGTCTCCAAAATAATCGTGAACGGGCGATGCAGAGCCGGTCACAGGAAACGTCGGAAGAGAGATTCCGTCGACTCCAGAACGCCCGTGATTGGCAGAGTCAGCGCCGGTCCCAGGCAAGCAGACAGACATCCCGACTCCAAAATAACCGCGAACGGGTGATTCAGCGCCGGTCACAGGAAACGTCGGAAGAGAGATCCCGTCGACTCCAGAACGCCCCTGATCAGCAGAATCAACGCCGGTCCCAGGAAACGTAGACAGGATAGACAGGATGCGTATCACAGGAGACCCAAGTTGGTGAAGACCATGCAGTCGGCCGTCAGCAGCAGTTAAGCTTCAAGGTAAGGACATTGTTTTTGTATTTTTTGTATTGTATAATTTGTATTGTATTGTATGGAATATAATTTTACCTGATTGGCTCAACAGGTCAATCTATTACTACAAAAAGGCCACAAAATCCGATTACTGTATTAAAATCAACTAATATTTGCTGGCGATTTAATTTTGCTGATGTTGCCGCTTGGTACCAACCGGTCAAAGTAAATCTCAGGCCAAGGTTTGTCATAGAGGCAAATGATGCATGATTGAGCAATGGATGCATGTGAGAGCAAAAAATACCCACTGATTCCTTTTTGAAAACTCCAATCTGCCAAAGTTTAATGATGGCGAAAAGTTTTGTTTCAAGATCGGCCAAAGTTTCTCATCGGCCAAAATTTGTTGATTTACAGTATAAGGAGATAAAAAGAAAAGAAGGAGCAAACCAAAAGTGGATGAAATTAGAGACAAATATTACTCCGCAATAAATTCTGCAAATACTTTTGCCTAACTCATATTCAAACTGATTGAAACGTTTTGCAATACAAAGATGTGGCCAATCAACGGAAAAAAAAACATTTCCATCAGTTCTAATAACATGTACGATGAGCTAGGCAAAAAAGCATAAAAGCATAGCGTAGGGCCCTGAGCTTCCAAGCTCTCTCGTTTCTAACACAAGGGCTTGACAGGAGCCTCCGCTTTGCTAAGTGGCCTAGGTGATCAAGTGTGTTGTTCCAACTGATAGCAACGTCTTTGCAATACGATTAGTGTGCACATTGCGCGAAATCGCGCATCTATGAGCGACATCGTCATGAACTGGTGGGACCATGGTCGTGTACTCGAATCTCATTCTGAGCACCCTTTTCCTTCCTTTTTTCAGCCGTTTTTTTGCAAAATGTCCTGTTTTTTATCGATCGTTCTTCAATGAAAGTGGGCAATCGATCACAGTCCGTGCGCCGAGGCCCTTGAGAGACCGATTTTCATTTTCTTGCGGGAATCGTAGCCTCCAAGGCGCCGCACATACGGGCTTGTTTTCTGTTGATTTTGCCTATCTCCGAATGGTGAATATTTCAATGAAATTTGCTGCTTAGAGCCCTTCTAGTCTCGTCAGTAGACCTTTCCTACACTGGAGAGATGGCTCGGAGTGATGTAGACACCTATGGCCGTACCCTGGAAAATTATTTTGGAGCTTGCAGTTCGTGAGCAGCCACCAAGGACGAATGTCTCACTTTTGTAATAGCTGAAACGAGGAATATGGTCAACAATTTCACACCAGGTAAGGCATTTACCCATCGCGGACACTAAAGCCGCTTTGTGGGGTGATAGACCAAAGCTTTATCTTTCGAATGCACGAGAAATTAGAGTGATACCTATGTGCCCCACAACTGCACCCGAAATAAACCACGCACAGGCAATATTGTGATTTTATGAGAAGAGACAATTGAGCATGCTCTAAATCGTCATGACCTGTTGTGTTACTTTTCAAACACCACTCCGAGTGAGCATCTACCAATCCTTTATCAATTTTACAGGGACATTTGAGCTGAGGGGATAGAGGTGGGATATTTCACCAGCTGAAGTACTAGATTTTTTCTGAATTTGTTGACTTCTAGGTTGCATAGTGTAAATATGTCAGTATTATGTGCATTATTGTGGTGAAATTCTGAGCATCTAATTATTATAGGCACAACAGCACTGGTGCATGCCCTCTCCTAGATCCTGCTCTCTGACTTTTTTCTTGCATTGCACGACTCAAATTCGTCGAATGAAATGAAGGAGTAAATTTGTTGCTGCCAATTAACTGCATCAGTTCTGTTTTCCTCTGCTGTTCTTCTTTCAGTGTGGTGACTTCTGATCCATGAGGCGATGGCATGAAATCAATAGTTTGCAGTATGTGTAATATGCGGCAGTCTCTCTGTCAATGGACCTGTGACAGCTGAAGCCCAGATGTTGCAGTTTGATGTCTATGGCCAGCAGCAATCTAATGTTGTTGCACCTTTCCTTCCACACACAGCAATGCGGGGTATGTCATGGACAGACATCGCTAAACTGCCTCTTTTGAAGAAGCATCGCAATTCTTGTCTGCCAATAAACAACAGACTAGCCAGCTATAATTACAATTTGGAGGTCGGAGACGCGATCCCGTGAACGTATTGCGCCAACTGCAATGAAGAAGGCCTTATTAATCTGGATTTATTAACATTCTCGTGTGGATAACTATAGCGTTGTGATCCAAGTCATGCGGACTATAAAATGCCTTAGACGTGAGATAGTGAAGGTACTGCCGACAGCAAGCCAACAGTGGATATGAACCACGCCACCAGCATCATTCTGCACACCAGGAGAATCCAATACATATAGCTGCCAACTCTGATGGTATAGACCCGGTAACTGTTTTGTTTCTCTAAGATTGGTATACAATTATACATGTACTAGTGCAATCTCTATCCATATGCGTAATGCACTGTATTTGTTTCCAGTGACTGGAGGTAGTTTATCATAGCACTGTTTTATGTCCTGGTTTTGTTGAAGATAAACATTATCCAGTTAACTTGTTAGGTACCATATCAGTCAGCTCTTTCAGCATTTGGCGTTGTGTCAGG